ATCGGTTTCATACGTTTCAGGGTGGCAATTTCGCGGCTCGAAATTCCAAGAATAACTTTTGTTTGTGTCTGCAGGACTACAAGGAGTACAATGTAACTTCCACGTGTGAAAAAGCATCCGCCAGCAAGACCTGATACCTTCGGACGGCGTAATTTGGCGTAATTTGTAGTACTTAGCTTTTGAGGTAAAGCACCGGCAAGAATTCGTACCCTAGGACGGCGTAATTTGGAGTAACGTGTAGTACTTAACGTTTGAGGGGCTAAAAAGAAGGTGCTAGCAAGAAATTATACCACCGTCAGGAGGCGTAATTTGGAGTAGATCATGGGACCCAAGTTTTAACGCAAGACACCAGCAAGAACTCCTACAGTAAGTAGGACGGGGTAATTTCGAGCAATTTTTAGTACTTTTATGAATACGCCGAATAGACAACACAATGACAAAATTGTAAAAAAATTGAATTTTTCGTAAAAATTGGAATTCGAAACGATTTTTCATCTCATCAATGGCTAACAAAATAAGTACAAAGATGCTTCCTATTTCTGACGCGCTCACAAGGAGTGCCTTTTGGGTGTCATCGGCAAATTCCTTCGAGACCTAGCTCATTCGATAGAGAATTCGATTCTGAACAAAACCCCCGTTGTTCTTTTTTGCAGAATGGCTATCCCTGATTTTATAAAATTAAAATACTAGTGACCGTCTCTTACCATGAGTGCCTTTCGAGCCAAAAGAGAGGCTTTTGGGTGCAGTTTTAAAATTTTATAAAATCAGGGATAGCCATTCTGCAAAAAAGAACAACGGGGTTTTGTTCAGAATCGAATTCTCTATCGAATGAGCTAGGTCTCGTAAGGTTTTGCCGATGACACCCAAAAGGCACTCCTTGTCAGTTTGGTCGTTTCTCGTTTTTTATGTTTGTAATTATTTTGTACTTTCTTCAGTCCGCTCAACCCGTTTTATTAATTTTGTGCATCGATATTCCAGAATTTGCCACCACGGCAACGGAAGGGCGGCGGTAGTAGCGATCTCCCGTCGCCCCACTTGTCTCGATCGAGGAGGGCCGTCGTTTTCCTAAAATAGCGCTAAAGTAGACCATTTTGTGTATAGCTTCTTACTAATGCTTCAAATCTGCTTCAAGCTAACTTACCCGTGACAATTATCCACAAACACCTCTCGAAAACGTTCCGAATATAGCTCGAGTAAGGTATGTAGAGGTAGAGAGACATGCAGGTCGATAATAGGGAATGTTGGGCCATTAATCCCGTTCCAAATGGGGTAATTACTAGAGAACGAAGTAGTGATTAGTTGATTATTACTTACTAATCCAATTTGGGTCTTCCAGGAAAAATAAGAATACAGCGCAGGCACCCGGGATCAATAAGGTGAACATCGGGATGCAGACCTTAAAAATCTGGTGATAGAGCGAGTGAGAAGGTGAGCGAGAGAGAGAGAGTGAGAGAGAGAGAGAGAGAGCGAATGTGTAGGAGAGAGTGTGAAAGAGAGCGAGTCAGAGAGGGAGATAGCAAGTGCGTGTGAGAGTGTGTGAGTGAGGTGAGTGCGACAGAGTGAAAGCGAGTGCGGGAGAGAGAGACAGAGAGAGAGAGAGAGAGAGAGAGAGAGAGTGCAAGAGTGTCTGAGGGCATACCTGAATCGCCAGCTTCAATATAATCCACCTATAGCTAGCCAGCGTCTTTGCGCTGACCCGGCTCTTGCTCGATTCGAGGACATGGAAGCAAGAAAGACAAGCTCCTAAAGGGATTTGCCTATACCTTTAAATAGCGTAATCGGTCAGAATACGAAATTTATACAAATTTAGCGTACCCCCGACAAGTACCATCCCTACTGCAGCCCAAAATAACATATGGCAAGCTATCATAAAGGCATCATCGGGAAGTAAGGAATAAAACCCAGGGTGAGCTATGAAATTTCTGAGCGCTGGGTATTTCTAAAACCTCAATAATTACCCGGATTTGATTCTTAATATTACCGCAAAATAGTAATGCCTCGTAATGCTCAAATCATTAAATTTTTCCATATATAAAAGCCCCAGAATGGAGTGGCAGTAGGGCAAAATTTGGAGCAAGAGGTAGAGTATGACTTTTGTTCTGAAACCGGAGATTTCTAGGTTGCGTAATGATACCTTAATTTCATTTTAAAGGGATGTCCAATGGGCAGGATATATTGCTGACGGACTACAAACATAATCATGATTAGGCCGGAAGAGTGGCCGAGGAGGGCGCAGCCAATGATCTAAAATTTGAATTTTCTTCCTTTTTTTAAAATAAGCATTGTTTTTTAATCGTTTTCAAGCCCGAAACATCATCAAAAAGCTTAATTCGCTTGTTGCCACATGCAATCTAATGTCTTATAGGTTTAAAAACGCTAAGAAATACGCTAAAATTGATACTATTTATGCACCGGAAAACAAACAATCTCTAAAAATTCTCCATTTTGACTGGAAAACACGTTAAAAATTGCGAACCTTTTTTAATATACGATGCTTCCGGAAAAGAATTATTTGTTTTTATCATCTATTTAGTAAATTTAAGGTATTACTAGCCTATTAAAATGAAAAATCAAAGCTCTGCTAGAAGTCAGATTTTTTAAGGGCCGGAAAACAACCCCATTCCTTCAAATTGTCTATTTCTGCTCCAAAATAGCTTGCAATTCACCAAGCTATTCTCTTTTCCGAAAAAGCTACTTTTGACGCAGTCAGCGAACATTTTTTTGCTGTGAAAAAACACCTGTCGGCCCCGCGCATTGACCCCGGAGGTCTGCTTGCAAAAATGAACTTATTGAAGCCAAGGTTTCCGGAATAAAAATCCCAATTTTTAATAGCTTTTCCAGGTGACTCCATTAATAGTCGAAAATTTGGAGTCCAAAGCACTCACAAGCTGCGCAAAGCTGGACAGCCCAAAGCGTTTCAACCATCCGGTTGGCACCCCGCCCGGGCACGGGAACGTGAAGTATGGTGCCAGTCCGGTGCCCAGCATCACGTCGTTCGCCAACGCTACCACCTGCCCGAGAAAGAGTTCGTTATTTTTGTTAATGTATAGCATAGGTCAAGGGTGGGGGGGGGTCAAAGTTCAGGGTTGTACAATGCTAGATTGTTTGCTTGTTTGATTTTCGAGTTCTTTCGCATTTTCGGCCAGCTTTTTCTCAGGATCCAATTTTTTTAGTATACAAAAATTTTCTAACATTTTTTACTATTTGTATTGTACTGTTCTTAAAGCGCACGTTCAGGGACGTATATTTATGGTGAACGTATACTTCCTATTGACGCCGAGGGACTGGGAAAAGAGGGAGACGCAGGTGTCAATAGGAAGTATACGTTCAACGTGCCTGAACGTGCGCTTTAAATGTAACGAAACGTATCGATTTTTCGACCAGGCAGTTTTTAACCAAAACCAGGGTTGAAAAGCCGCTTCGCGACTTTTCAACCCTGGTCCCGTCTGACCCTAGAATATTCTCCACTTTGCATGATTTTCCTGGATCCCGATAAGCAAAAAATGAAAAGCGGATCCTCTTTCCCGTTATATGTATAGGTGATCGCCACTTCCGGTGTATGCTAATTGATTCCTAACAAAGAGAGTCTCCAATTTTGCAACAAGAAACAAATTTAATACCGAAAATAGGTGATTTGGTTAAATATTATAAGCGTGCAGTCATCTCCTGACCATTACGCACCTAATGACGTATCGAACATACCCTTAAGTACCTCCCTTCTTGAGATACTACTGGAACACGGTGACGGAAGTTGTATGCAAAGTGGCACAGACACACACACACACACAAACACTATTTTTTTATATATAGTAGGATAGTAGGATTCTACTTTTGGACATTTCATTAAAATTTGGATAGTTTTACAGTTGAATCATGGATTGATTTTACTAAAAATACTATTAGAACACTTGCTATTAAGTTACCAGGCTCTTCCAAAATTACAAAAAACCTCCCCCCCCCCGATAATGCGAAAGCACCGATTTTTGAACCGGAGCCGGAATTTAAACGTCTTTATTTGAATTCCATGCATTGTCCATCTTTGTGAACGACGAAATTCTTGAATCATGGACGATTTTTGAAGTCTCGAACGAAGCATCTCCAGGGAAATCACTTTACATTACGCGTTGGTTGTTCAAAACATTAAGAAATGATTCTCAGAATGGTTTCGCACCGAACGATTCCGCTAAAGACCCCAGAAACCCGCAAAAAACATCATGAATCACAGCTATCCCCGGCCGGAAAGAGTTCCAAATGCCAAGAAACCCGTATGAATAAGCGTTGTCGCACGCTGTAAACAGGGGAAATTCTGAGCAAAAAGCAAAGATTTTTTCAAACGAATGAAAATACATAAAGACAAAAAACAACTTTTTGTAAAATAAAATTTACCTGATAAACTATCAAAACCCGACTAAACGTCAGCATATTCGGCGGGGATTGCGTGTGGAAAATGTAGATACTGATCAGACCCAAAAGCAAAGAGATACCTAAAACCTATTTTTGCGATAAACGGACGGCTAAAGTTTTTTGGTTCATAAAATTCCAAAATTACAACCCAAAAGGAAGCATTTTAAAATTGGCAGCCTTGGAAAATCCTCGCAATCGTACTTACCCGTGGTAAAATCCAACACGTCAAACACCCAGTCAATCGTTTCAATAGGTATCGCATAGGGTTCGGTCCAATAGATAAAATTACCCATAAAACCCGTAGAAACCCGCTGAACGCAAAATCAAAAATCTGGCTAGAAAAGGTGCATAGACTGGGTGAACTGTCTGAAAAAGAGTGTTCCCGAGAAAGTGGACGTCAGGTGTAATTGGCGAGGCGGCCGAAAAGCCCTCCACCCCAAGGCCATCAATTTTTAATGAAGAAAACCAATGATTTGCGGGGGATACACTAAAGGTATTTGTAACACGATGTGTAGTCTGAAAAAGTTGCGATTTCGCGCGAATCGTCCTAATCGAATCTTGGCATTAATTTTCGAGGCGTTGGCCCGGTACTTGGCTGTTAGCGGGGGTGTAACTTTGTATCCACAAATTTGTATCAATAGGGTATCTACGGAAGTACACGCAATTTATGTAGCTTTTTAGGACGTTCGCAAGTAAAATTTCTAGGGTTTTTGGCTTGGTTTTCAAGCCTGGAAGGCTCATAAAAAATAATACAATTTCGCTAACTTGTTGTTGGTTCAAAAGTATACAGCGTCTGCCAAAAAGCACCCCTCCGGTCATGGGCGGCATTACACCAAATCGGCCCCAAAATTAAACCAGAAGTGTATAAGACTATAGCTCGATTGCCACCGTGATTCTCGAGTTACAGACAAAATACTGTTTTTTTTGCAACTTTTAACAGCTTTTTTTTGGACTTCGCATCGATATGCATCGCCTTCCGACTCGGAATCGCTCATTTCGCTTATGGTCCGGGTCGATTTTTGTGTGCAAAAATGTTTAAATAAACGTTTATTTAGCTAAATTTTTGTTGGAAAAAATTCTACGCATTAAAGGGCTGCCGACGGCATGTGTCGATCCCCCCTCATCAACAAATTGGCAAGTAGCCAACAGGGGAGAGAGCGCGCCCTGGGGAGAGGCGCAGAGACATTTTCTTTCCAGCGCGTAACCGATTGACTATGTCGTCGGTATCCCTTTAAGAAGCCTTCCGGCAGCATGTTCACTTGATATTCTAAGGGTCGACTCCGACGAAAACCCTATGAAAAACGCAGTGTAAGGTACCCTACGAAAACCCTACGAAAATCCTATTTTGCACTTCAGGGGAGGGGACACTTTATCATTTAGCACCATACACACGCAGTTACACGACGAAGAAATGATGACTAGCAACAAAAAAAAGAAAGAAAAATAGAGCCGGGTGCTGGGCAAAAAATGACACACAAGATAGACAGAGGGGGCAAGGGGTCAATGGGAGCTCTAGAAAACTCGGTAGTTGTTCGGTGGTTCCCTAGCGTCTCGGGGACGTCGTGTCGGGCGTGTCGGACGGCGAGTAGACGAGACGTCACACCTTGGGTCTACATCAGGCGGGCGGCGTGCCGTCAGGGGCGTCAGGGGCGGGGGCATCAGGGGCAGGAGCGTCAGGGGCGGGGGAGTCAGCGGCAGGGGCGTCAGGGGACGGCGGCGGGTTCTCGCCGCTTTCCGTGTTCGACTCGGTCTTTGCCTTGTTGCCCTTCTTGCCGCCCTTCTTCTTCTTCTTCTTGCCGCCGCCTGAAAAATGGGATTATGAGAGCTAGGTGGCTGGATTCTGGACTATTATGACCTTTTCTCGACCTGTATTCGAAAATTTTGATCATTTTGATCATTTTTCATACATTTTTTTATCAAATCCCCAAAAATATGTTACATACTTAAAAAAAATGCTATAAAATGGGTTATATTACGTTATAGGGCCGTAGAGAATCACAGGGAAAAATTTGCCCCTCCCCCCGTGCAGAACCGGTGGTTGATGCTCACCTTTCCCCTTGAGGACGACAACAATGATGATGGCGACGACGACGAGCAGGACAACGAGACCAACGGCAACGATGATCATCGTCGGGTCGTCGGCGGTGCTGGAATGATGGGAGAAGGGTTGATGCTGGAGTCGCAACTTCCCCCCCCGCTAACGGTCCAGCAGCGTGCATTCCCCCACTTCTCTTCTTTGCCGGCCGTCTGCGAGGAGTTCGTTGGCGTGTCCGACGGGGGCATGCTGGTAGTGGTAGTAGAAGCGGTCGTAGTAGTGGCTTCGGTTGTAGTGCTCTCCGTGGTTGTAGTGGTCTCCTCCGTGGTGGTGGTTGTTGTCGGCGGCAGCCATTCATCCTGTCATACAATAGAGGTTCTTGCGCATTATCGGGGGGGGGGGGCTAATTTTTCTACACCTCCAGAAATGCATAGTAACTTAATAAAAAGTATCTTAATAGCGTTTTGACTAAAATCTAGAAATGACGAGCAACCTAATAGGAAGTATTTTCATATACTTTTTTTTTGTAGGAAAATAAAACCAGAGTTGGCTAGAAAAACTCTCTAAAAATTTGAAATTATTTTCAAAAAGTCGACGTTTTGGTCAATAACGGCAATTTTTTGGCGAAAAATCGCTTCTTTGTGTTTTTTAATCAAATTTTGTAAAGTTTCTACGTTTTTTACCGCCTTTCAACCTTATTAAAAAATTATACCTTATACACAAAATCATCAGCTCGCGTGAATTCGGCCTGGAAGCCGACGTTGCTCTGTAACGGTGATATGGATAGCGTTCGTTTCCAGAAATAACTTTTTCAAGCAATGGTTTTTAGAAGTGACGATTTTTAGGTAAAGGTTGCTTAACGGTGGGGGGGGGAATAACGGGGGTGCAAACAACTTTTGTAAGCTATCCCGCTATTTTCAAAGCGCCATGGATAGCGCGTCAAAAACTATAATAAGATGTGTAATTTCAGCCCGAAAAACCTTAGTTTGTATGTTTTTAATTCATTAAACTTTTTAGCTTAACAAAGTAATCATTTTGCATAATGGTATTTCGGGCAGGAATTAAATAGCATAGTAGAATTTTTGACGCTCTATCCGATGACATGCTTGATTAGGCACAACCAGTCCCCATAAAGGCAAAATTATTTTCCATCCCCCGTTATTCCTTGCCACCCCCCGTTAAGCAACCTTTACCGGGTATGGGATAATCCCTTCCCCCGCATTATGACATTAAGCCGTATCCACCGTGTCGCTGGTAATGTAGATGGCCATGAGCTCCGTCATGCCCGGGCTCTCGGGCGCGACCAGCCGGCGCGGCTCTTTCGGATAATTGTCCGGTTTCAGGTCTCCATCGTTCTTCATTGTCACCGGGTTCTCTAAAAATATTCTTTTGAAGTTTTAAAAATTTCTTTAGTGCCATTCGATCGAGCATCAAAATTCCAAAATACCCAAATATTTTTTTGAGGGATTGCAAGAGAAGCTCACCACATATGGCCCGAATCTCGGGGTCACGCTTCCAAGAATATTGCCAGCAGCCGCGCGGATCGGAATTAGCGGCATTTTCTGAAACAGGTTAACAGTCTAGCCCCGTCCTCGCTAACAATGCAATGAAGCAGGCGGGAATAACCACCTTCAGCCGGAATCCACACCAAGCGGCAGTAGCTCACGTAGTCGGGCGCTTGCGGAGCTCCAGCACACCCTGCAATGAAATTCGGAGATTCATCGAA